CTACTGGAGGCAGCTGCGATGAACCCTCTGTGTCCCTGGCTTGGAGGGGAGAGCTGAGATCCTGCTCAGGGACGATGAGATGGGCTGAGGGATTTTGAAGATCTGCACTTGGAAGCAGCATTCCTCTGCTCGCAACAGGGTCCTGTTTCTTTTGGGGGGGACACCTAAGTGTTACTGCCACAGAATCCCAAGATCCCAGGATGGCAGGGGCTGGAAGGGACCTCCAGAGATCACCCAGTCCCACACCCCTGCTCAAGCAGGCTCACCCAGAGCAGGGGGCACAGGACAGTGTCCAGGCGGGCCTTGAATATCTCCAGAGAAGGAGACTCCACAGCCCCCCTGGGCAGCCTGGGCCAGGGCTCAGGCACCCTCCAAGTCAAGGAGTTCTTCCTCATATTCAACTGGAACCTCTTCTGCTTCAGTTTGTGTCCATTGCCCCTTGTCCTGGTGCTGGGCACCACTGGGAAGAGTCTGGCTCCGTCCTCATGACACCCACCCTTGAGATATTTGTACGTGTTGATGAGATCCCCTCTCAGCCTTCTCTTCTCCAGGCTGAAAAAGCCCAGCTCGCTCAGCCTTTCCTCGTAGGGGAGATGCTCCAGTCCCCCCATCATCCTTGTTGCCCTCCCCTGGACTCTTTCTAGGAGTTCCTCATCCTTGTTGAACCGGGGAGCCCAGAACTGAACACAGTACTCCAGGTGGGATCTCACCAGGGCAGAGTAGAGGAGGAACATGGCATTTTCAGGCCCTCCTGGAAGGACAGAGCAGTAGGAGACCTGGAACCCAGGCCGTCTCTGTAAAGCATCACTGATGATTTCCCAAGGGAATGGGCTTGCGAAGGCAAAACCCATCTGGAATTGCATCTCTTGAGGGATATGAAGAAGAGGAGAGCCACTCGCTCACTCTGCCCCTCAGTGGAATGGGGGAGAGAATCGGAAAAAAGGTAAAAGCCATGGGTTGAGATAAAGAGAGTTTAATGAAACAGCAGAGGGGAAGAAAATGGTAAAAGAATGTAAGAAACACATGATGCACGGTCCAATTGCTCACCACGTGCTGACCGATGCCCACCCCATCCCGAGCTGCCATCACTCTCCTCCCCCCGTCCACTCCCCCCAGGCATGATGTCGTTGGGGTCCCGGCCGTGCCCCCGCCCAGCTCCATGTGCCCCTGCCAGAGTGGGGGAAGCCGAAAAAGTCCTTGCCTGGTGCAAGCCCTGCTCAGCACCAACTGAACCATCAGGGTGGTGTCAACGTTCTCCTCATCCTCAATCCAAATCACGGCGCTGTGCCGGCTCCCGGGAAGAAAATTAACTGCCAGAAAATAAGCAGCGATGTGCCCTGTTCACTGATGGATCCTGTTGTGGGAAAGCACCAGAGGTGAAAAGCTGCTGAATGGAGTCCAACCAGAGGCAAACCCATATGGGCTGCTGTGTTGTGGCAAGATATTGCTGCCAGTGTAGAGAACCTGGCTGTAAAATGCGTCACGTAGGTGCTCATGTAGCCAGGAGCCGGGCCACTGAAGAACATCAAACCAACCAGCAGGTGGACCAGGCTGCTCAGATTGAAGTGGCTCAGGTGGATCTGGACTGGCAACACAAGGGTGAACTATTTCTAGCTCGGTGGGTCCATGACACCTCAGGCCATCAAGGAAGAGATGCAACATAGAGATGGGCTTGTGATCGAGGGGTGGACTTGACGATGGATGCTATTGCACAGGTTATCCATGAATGTGAAACATGCACCACGATCAAGCGAGCCAAAAGAGGTTCAAGACTCTCTAGTGTGGTGGACGGTGGCTGAAATACAAAAATGGGGAGGCCTGGCAGATTGATTACATCACACCCCCAGAAACCTGCCAAGGCAAGTGCCATGTGCTCACTATGTTGGAAGCAACCATTGGGTGGCTGGAAACCTACCCTGTGCCCCATGCCACCTCCCGGAACACTGTCCTAGGCCTTGAAAAGCAAGTCCCATGGTGACAGGGCACCCCATAAAGAATTGAGTCAGACAATGGAACTAATTTCTGAAACAACCTCATGGACACCTGGGCCAAGAGCATGGTGTTGGGTGGGTCTATCCCATCCCCCATCATGCACCAGCCTGCAGGAAGAGGGAACGATGCAATGGGCTGTTCAAGACTGTCCCTGAGAGCAACGGGTGGTGGGACGTTCAAACATTGGGATACACATTTAGCAAAGGCCACCGGGTCAGTCACCACTGGGGGATCTGCCAACCGAGCCGGCCCTGCCCAATCAAACCTCTTACATAGGGTAGAGGGGGATGAAGTCCCTGTAGTGCACGTAAAAAATATTCTGGGGAAGAGTCTGGGTCACTCCTGCCTTGGGCAGACCCATCTGTGGGATTGCTTTTGCTCATGGACCTGGGTGCGCTTGGTGGGTGATGGGGGAGGATGGGGAAGCCCGGTGCGTACCTCAAGGGCATGTGATTTTGGGTGAGAAGAGCCAATGAACAGAATGATGCGATGTTAATTGCTGTATCACACTGGATGTCACCACCCTTATGGTTGTGATGTGTCATATCATTATCATATTGCCTGGAGAAGAGGAGGCTGAGGGGAGACCTTATCACCCTCTCCAACTGCCTGACGGGAGGGTGTAGCGAGGTGGGGGTTGGTCGCTTCTCCCAGGCAATGGACAGGAGGAAATGGCCTCACGTTGTTTCAGGGGTGGTTTAGGTTGGACATTGGGAAAAATTTCTTCACGGAAAGGGCTGTCAAGCACTGGAAGGGGCTGCCCAGGGAAGGGGTCGAGTCCCCATCCCTGGGGGGATTTAAAAGCTGGGCCCTGGCTGTTTCCCCTCGTCCCATTGCCCATTCCCTGGGAGCAGAGCCCGACCCCCCCGGCTCCCCCCTCCTCTCAGGCAGTTGTAGGGAGCGATAAGGGCTCCCCTCAGCCTCCCCCTCT